TCAAAATATTTGGAGTAGATTAGAAAGTGAAGTCAGTGAAGAGCTATATAGAAAAATAGAGAAGAGCAATAGCCAAACAGCACTCCTACAAGAAAAAATTAAAGAAAGAGTTTTCAGCAAGTCCAAATCTAAAAGAGAGGAAGCAAGAAAAGAATTAATAAGAGGCCTTTTAACCAAGAAAAGAAAACAAAACTTGAAAGACCTTTGCCAAGATAGGGCTAAAAAGAGAAAAATAGTGAATACTTTCCTTGGCAGCTTCAAAGATAAATTTCGGAAACGTATCTGAAACTTTAGATGTAAGAACATAATTGAGTGGGAAAAAAATCATGGTATAGAAAAGACAGACAAAAGGAAAAAGAGAGATCCAAAAAAGAAGAAAAACAAAATCGGCCCAAATAAAAAGAATAGAAATCCAGAAAACATAACTACAAAAAAAGGTAAATCCAGTAAAGAAGACCAAGAAAATGCCAAGAATATTAAAAAAGAGGAGAAAGAGAAGAAAGAAAAAGCAAAAAGAATTTGGTCAGCTCAGAATATTAAAAACTGGATAACTAGCAATGTGAAACCGGAGTGGTCATCCTGGAACAAACCAAGAAATAAAAATTAGTTGGCATTCTTGACATGGTATACAATAGCCAATCAAGGATTCTGAGAAGACAAGTTCTTGGTAAGTTGAGAACCCCGGAGGAGATAAATAATCGTAATAGCAGGTCACACCTGGGTACATGGTATTGTATTGAGTGAGTCTTCATTTGGTTAGGTAGTAGATAGATATTAATTACACAGTGTATATTAGTAGTCTTGATACCTTAATAAATAAAGGCAGGATCGCCAAAAAAAAAAAAAAAAAAAAAAAAAATTAATTATATCAAATTTGAATATTTAAGCTCAGATTGTTCACTTTGTCACAATAGCATAACAATTTATTCATAACTATATTATTCTAGAGATATTAACATGAAAGAAGTCATTGAAATTAAGGAACAAAAAAGAGAATTGTCAGCATTGTAGAAGCATTACATAGATCATCATCGATTTCTTAGGCATATATATCTATATTATCATAATTTAATTCTGTGTGTAAATAGTTTAAAGTTTGAAACTGGCCAATTATTATATTCATCTGCATTTGTTGTTGGCATATATTCAGGCATAGAACAATTAGGTAAAGAATTTGAAAGTATGTTAAGATGGCCAATAGCCAAATTCGAAGTAAGTTTATAAATTTTTATTTTTATTTTTATGTTTTGACCTTAACAAATATAATAATCTATGAATTTGTACAGGCCAGTAAAAATTGTTGCAATATTATTTAAAAGACTAGTTTCTAGTTGTTTAGTAATACTGTGTTTAGTGTGAATAAAGTATCATAAATAGCTGGATAAAATGCCTTTATAGTTTTTTTTTTTTTTTTTTTAACACGAAATGGCGTGCTTTTATTAAGAATACTAAAAATACATAGTTAAAAACTATTT